AGGCCGACCTCGGGAATAAACCTCCGTCTTATCGAAGCTCCAAAATTCACGGTTGAAACCCGTGCCTTCGTGTAAAAAGTTTTTCTTTGCAAAAAGAAGCTGAGAACTTGTTTACCGATTATTTTAATTAAAAGCTTTGTGTGAAAAATGCTATGTCTGCCATTTTGAGAACCGAAGCGAGACAGCCCATGTCACGTCAAGGGGCCTCCCTCCCATTTTTCTTCAAGAGACACGCTGCTCCCTCACTATCCATCCTTCAGTTCAAACAGTCTTATATTGCCATCCAGTGGTCAAAAACAGGTACTACATGCAGAGACAATTAATCGCCCAGCAAAATGTGTTATCGTGACAGGCCTATTGTTATTCCCCTCAGTGTGGGGCTTTAGGGTTGTTTTCTGTTATATTTATTAATAAAAACCATGTGATTGCTGAAGAAAATATGAGACTGAAGTTCAGTTTAATGACATCAAACTTGAAAGATGACCAAAGTCCGGTGTACCATGTAGCTAAAATGTAGCTTTTCCACCACTAGATATATCTAACTGTAACATAAACCTGCCTTATTGATCATTTATTGTGTCCTAACTGATATAAATGAATGGAAAAGCACAAGTTTACTCCTATTTTGTAAAGAAAACTAGTTAATACTTATCAGTTAATGACCACCCCGGCCTGTTTGTACCATTTTTTTAATGGGCATAAGCACAGCAGAGAGGGATTTAAGAGTAAATTTGAAAGGTAGAGAGTCTGTAGAGACTGATGTTATAACACCCTTTGACCTCCAAATGTCTGACAGGAGCAGGAATACCCGGACGTTCACAAAGGAGAGGCAGCTGAGCAGCCCCCCTGTACATCCAGTCTGTCAGTCCCCAGTTCTGGAACCAGACCCACGAGTTTAGAGGTGGACCAGTCGTCACCTGAGGCCTTGTCGGGGACAGGTCGTAGGTCGTTCATCGGGCTCTCTGACACGGAGCTCCTAAAGTGTGCTTTCTCTTACCCTCAGACCGAAGGAGCCCCAGAGAGCCCGTGGAGAAACAGTAAGCGCCACTAATGAGTTCAGTCTTTTTATTATTATTGAGTCATGACGGGTTCGGTGGATTTTTAACTGGCACGTATTCTTGGATTCTGTTTCAGCAAAGACGGTGGAATCAGACGCAAATAATTCCTTGAAGTATGTTCCTGGAAAGGCGCGGTCGCACCATTTAGAGATGATGATGTCCAAAGAGGAGCTGGTGGAGGAGCAGAGGTCAGTAAACACCACACAGACGAGCGGTCGGTACTTTTAGGGTTCACATCGAGAAACAAACGTGAGTCTGAGCTCAGTTTATTGCACCCTTGGCCTTCCTGGTTCCACATTAAAGAAAATTGAAGAACAACTTAACTTTAGGTTTAATGGGGTTATTTACATATTTACAATATAAACATCAGTTTATTTATTTCTATAGCGCCAAGTCACAACAGAAGTCGTCTCAGGACATTAAACAGAAACATTCCCATACATTAAAAAGCCACTTAGTAAAAGTTCTCTATCTAACGAAGCAGACTGAGTTGAATCTTCACTTCGTCACAGTCTTCCATCCTGAGCGAGCACAAAGGAGACAGTGGAAAGGAAAAACTCCCATTTAACAGGAAGAAACCTCCAGCAGAACCAGGCTCAGGACGGGAAGCCATCTGGTTTGACAGGCTGAGGTTTGAGAGGACAGGAAGTAGAAACAAACAAACACAGAACAGCAGGTCCAGGTTTACTTGCTATAGGAGGCTAGACAAAAAAAAACATGTTAAGATATAAATAATTACAAATACAGTTAGAGTAGAGAAAGTAAAAACAGCAGCAGAGAGCGGACATGTGGTGAATTTGTCCTGCAGCAGTCTAAGCCTATAGCAGCACAGCTAAGGGATAGCTCAGGAAACCCAAACCAGCTCTAACTATAGGATTTATCAGAAAGGAAATACTTATAGTCTTAAAAGTAAACAATGTGTCAGCCTCACGGACAGAAACTGGAAGTTGGTTCCACAAGAGAGGAGCCTGATAACTGAACGCTCTGCCTCCCAACTCTAGGAACCACAAGTAAACCTGCAGTCTGAGAGCAAAGTGCTCTGTTGGGAAAATATGGAACAATAAGATCTGTAATATAAAGATGGAGCTAGGTTGTTGAGAGCTTTGTAGGTTAAAAGTAAGGTTTTGAATTCAGTTCTGAATTTGACAGGGAGCCAGTGGAGAGAAGTTAAAACTGGAGAGAGATGATCTCGCCTAACTCTCATGTTGGATCAACTGAAGACTTTTTAAATATTTTTTGGACACCCAGATAATAAACAATTACAATAGTCCAGCCTATACATGATAAATGGAAATCAAACGACATGTGGAAGAATAATGATAATAGTTTTGTGGTAAAATGGGAATTGATTGATGGATCATGAATGCCTAACCAGGAAGATAATACTGAATTTAAATGAATAAAGGGATGATTGACAATGGAAACTAACTAGATGATAGGAAGGCCACTGAAAATATGTAATAAAAGGGTTAAAAGTAAAAGTAAAACTTATTTATAAACCAAAATCTGCTCCACAGCCACATGAAATGGCTGCAGGATGGGACTGTCGACTTTGTTCGTTTCACATGTGATCTTAGTTAATTCACCCGTTCACGTTTGCTGCTCAGCTTTAGGCTAGCCTGGCTAAGGCGCGATTGGGTGTCTGCCAAGCATTAGCCAACTCAGTAACAGATAAGAACGAAAGCATCAGTGACTGAAGAAAAACACAGGAAAAGTGGACTGCTGCTTCAGGATTCTTGATTTATTTCTCTGCTTGTCCTGCTCTTATCATTGAATCGTTGCAGGAGAGACTCCAAGACAGAAACTAACTGTCTGTTAACCTGAAAAAAGGAGCAAAAGCGTGGTAACGTATGAGTTATTCTCACCTGTTTGTCCCTGAAGAGTCACTTTTTGGCCATTTGCACGAAACAACTCAGCCAATTTGCACTCGCAGCCTTGACCTCCACAGTGATGTTTGCCTCAGCAGCTTTTTATCCTCATGTGGCCACGAAGCGACTGATGTTAGCGGCGCAGCGATGCTCATTCGCTGCCCCGTTATTCCCCATTAGACTTGTGCTCCTCAGATGTGTATCAGCAGGTGTTGATTGTTGCCCTCCTCTCCACCTCTGTTAGTGAAGACTTTAAAGTAGTTCTTTTGTTCTGCCACAAGGGGGAGCCAAAGTAGCACAAAACATGCAAAGGAGTTCCAAATGTTGCTCTGGCATTCAGGAGAATTCATTTATTGTTTATTTTTTATGTATATTTATTGGGTGTTAGTACATTTGGATACAAATAAATGCACTTTAAATGCAGTAGGGTTAAGCTAAAAGAAAAAAGTAGAGCGTAAAATATTATGTTATGGCTTTAGACATAAAATCGCACCCATTTACTCTATAGTCCAAGTTGCTTTTTATGATTTGTGGTGTTTTATTCCTAATTTCTGCTTTACAGAATGTAATAAAAACTCACCTTGTCCCTATCACGTCTGAAGTCAATATGAACCCAACATAACATTTTACTAACTGTTTTAACAGCAGTAAGTAAAATTCAAAGGGCATTTGTGCAGTTATACAGTATTTTCCGCTTAATATCTTGAGTTAATCACCTGAAATGATTTTTCATTCTCTCACATTGTAGCTCAGTTTTGACCCACACTTCTTTACATTCTTGTTTTCTCATTCAACCATTATTTAAACAGGTTAATCCCATTGAGCCGCGAGGACTCATTTACAAGAGAGACCTGGATTTTAACAGAGTGATGACAACAAAGACGACAATAGACAATCACAAATTATGCATACATTTTTTTAACAATTGAAAACAAAAGGATAATTAAAAAGAAACATAGTGGAAAAAACGCTTGATTACGAGACGGTGTAGAAAACTAAAAACAGGAACATGTAGCTGTTGGTTCTTGCCAGGAACTTAACAGATGTTTAAAGTCACTTAGAGAGGTCAATAGGTCAAGGTCGAGAGCTTCAGATCTTTTTGCAAGATATTCCAAGAGCGGAGCAGGAGAAGGCCCTTTTACCAAGTTCAGTCCGCACTGAGGGGACACTGCAGGTAATAATGTCCTGAGAGCGCACGCTGTAGCTGCACTCACGCAGAGACATGTAGGAGGAGATGTATGAAGGCAGCAGACCAAGAAGTGATTTAAAGATGAAAATGTACCAGTGAGAGAGTCTGTGTGAAGTTAATGGTGACCAGTTAACCAGTGCATACAGGGTTGTGGAACTTCATTCAGGTTTGTGGGCATCTGTTTATATATAACTCTGATAAAATCCAGCCTCATCAGTCACATAAGATCCTACAACGGAGCTTTATGACCACACTAAGAAAAAAAAAGAATTGCATTGCCACGCTAATAAAATAAAAAATAAAAGCCATAAAATTACAAGAATAAAGTCGTACGAGTCTTTTTTTTCGTTTATTTTTATTTTTTTCCACTAGTCGGATCCACAACGCAACCTGTCAATCAATCCAGTAGGCGTGTCAGCAAATGACCAATCCGAAGCTAAATGCTCCTTACCTGCAGAGCTGCGCTGCAGCCCATCAGAGCGTACCACCGTACTGTCAGCACGTTCAAAGACCTGAGGCTGATAATAATCTGATGCTGATGTGCTAACAGATTAACCATCTCCTCTTTTGGGTGAAATACGAAATGTTTCTACATTCTTTATTTTATTTTATTTATTTTTTGCTTTGATTTGTTTTTTGAACGTCCAGAGGACCAGATTGTAGATTTTTCTACCTGGATTAGTGAGCATGCATCAGGATAACTATCTCCTTATTAATCGTCACACTTTCCGTGACTTTGCTCCTTTTTGTTGCCTTTGTCACTATTTTTAAACAGTTTTTGTCCCGTTCAAATTGCAAAAAGAGGATTTTAGAGCAATTTTTGTGAATTCTGACTTTTTTTTTTTTAAAAACCTAAATGTTAATTTGTCCTGTAAACAGAAATACATTGAATTTTTTTTTTTTGTCTAAATTTGATCTCAGCCTTTTGTAAAGCTCTGTTCTGCTAATTTTAAATATTTTTAGCAAATTTTTGTCTACAAATTATACCAGCATTGAACAATATTTGTTTAGTTTCTGGTTAAATTGAAATTTGAGTGAGTTGTAACAACAAGTAAAGGATTTTTTACATCTTCTCCTAAACAGCGGCGGGTGGCAGAACGTTTTCTCTCTGTACCTTGAAATTACAAATAACTAATCCAGAATTTTAATTAGAAATGTTTGAACAAATAAAGCTAAACTCAAAAAACATTACATTATATCTTTATTTTTACAACATATTCCATAAGCGCTCCAACATAACTTCACTTTGAGGCAGAAAAAAGCAACAACCCCTTTAAATAATGTAATTTAAATGTGAATATTGTGTCATTTTGTCCATAAATTGTATTCTTTCTGCTTTGTTTTTTATTTGATTTCATTCTTGTACATTCAGGAGACTCTCAAAACTGATCCAAAAATATTTGTTTAAAATATCAGCTTTTATAAATTCAATTTCACTTTGGTTTATTTATACAGAACCAAGACACAACAGAACTTGTTTCAGGGCACTGGAACAGATACAATAAGGAACAGATACACAATGGCAGGTCAAGAATCACATGTTAAGATAGAAATAGTATAAAATGAAAACTATTCAATTTTAGCAAATCGTTTAAGGATATGAGGTCAATTTGTCCTCCAGTAGTTTAAGCCTATAGCAGCATAACAAGCCAACGCTAACTATAGGATTTATCATAAAGGAAAGTCTTAAAACTGGTCAATGTGTCGGCCTCATGGACAGAAACTGGAAGTTGGTTCCACAAGAGAGGAGCTTGATAACTGAAAGATCTTCCTCCCATTCTGCTTCTGGAAACTCTAGGAACCACGAGTAAGCCTGCAGTCTGAGAGCAAAGTGCTCTGTTAGGAAAATATGGAACAATAAAATCTGTAATATAAGATGGAGCTAGGTTGTTGAGAGCTTTGTAGGATAGAAGCAAGATTTTGAATTAAATTCTGGATTTGACAGGGAGCCAATGGAGAGAAGCTAAAACTGGAGAGATATGATCTCTCCCACTAACTCCAGTTAAAAGTCTGGCAGCAGCATTTTGGATCAACTGAAGGCGTTTTAAAGAAGTATTTGGACACCCAGATAACAAACCATTGCAATAGTCCAGTCTAGACGTGACAAATGCATGAATCAGTTTTTCTGCATCATTTTTAGATAAGATGTTTCTAATTTTAGTGATATTACGCAGGTGGAAGAAGGCGGTTCTAGTAACATTTTTAATGTGGGGGATAAAAGACATGT